TTTCTAAATCTTTAAAGGTTTGATTGATAAAAACGATTTGCAAAGCATATAGAACAAATGGTCGAGCGAATATAGTTTCAGTGATAGGAATGATATTTTAAGACTCATTCATGCTTAGGGGTTTATGATAGGGAAATTCTACGATCTGAAAGGTTTTCAAGTTGCGTGAAACCTGAGCCTTGCCCAATTTGAAAACAGCGATGGCATACAGGAATGATTTCCTCTCATTTCATTTACCAGAATAAGCATAGAAACCATGAAAAAGCATTTTGTTTGGCTACAGTTTGAATATGTTACATTTGATCCCTGAGATTTTGGACAAAACTAAATCAGTCGGCGAGATTAAGCATACCCCTATTCTGAAAACTTTATAAAGAAAAACTGATCCCATCTTTCTTACTTACACTTAAGACAATAGTTCTTAATTTCATCACATCGCCTTTTCACATGACGGTAGCAGACTTTTGCTAAATTTCGCGACGTCACGTCATTCTTGATTCATTGTGACGTCACGCACGTGAAATGGGTTGTAAGATAGATGTTATTTCTTACATTCATTCCTTGCCTTTGACAGTTCCATCATACTGCACAGAAACTGTCTAATTTGGTTTAACACACAAACACTTTTTCTACCTCTTTAAACACTGGTCCTTAATTTATTTAGTCAGTGTATACTTTAGTGTGTTGACGTCAGACGTGTACTGGCATTATCAGCTTCGTGTGTGTCCGAGCGCCCCCTATCAGACATCAAACTGTTACGAAACGACCGACCCACCTAAAGTTAAATTGATGACGATGACCCTAACACGAGACAAGTATTATCACGTGGCCTATACTAAATAACGACTCACCGCACTGCGGGACACACAGACACGACGCAACACAATTAATGGTCAGCACTATCACATTGTCGTCTCGTCCACGCTTGCAATACCGTTTTATATTGATAAATTGTCTATAGATATTTCAGATTACCATATACCTGTACAAACTATGAAGCGTGGAATTAGAATCACTGTGATGCCGTTATATTATGGATTATGTGGTATTTCGGTCGAAAGAGTCACTATTTATCAAGCCTACAAATGATACTCTTTCTACATTTTTTAATCAATCTCGTTAGACATTTTATCGCATGTTTGTTATTGGTGATACGTATCGTTCAACTCTCGTATTTTAAGGGTCTCCAACGCATAGGCTACTTGCAAACAACGATTGTAAACAATAAATCAAATTAGAATGTGTGTCGTGATGTAAGTTGCAAGTGCAGACTTGACATAAACGCCGAAGCATACGTCACCAAATAATGAACGTATGGTAGCAGTGTACAGTAGCGTACGGTGGCCATGGGTGATATTTTCGTACAATGAATTACCCCTGTAATATTACATGTATCAAAAGTAAAAAAAATAAATATCAGCTCTAAAATTGGTATATACATGATGATTAGGACTATGTGGGCTTCACATTTTAAAAAAAGGAGTCGAATTTGGCTTGAGACTACATTCTTGGGCCATTTACTAATCTCAGTCTACACAACAAAAGCTAGCTTTTCATGTAGTCTATTTTTGTACTCAGCACATGTGTAAATATTGTGAAAAATCTAGTTTGACCTAAGCTAAAACGTGAGTATCTGTGACCGAGTAGATGATATATAATTTAAGACAGGTTTTAAGAAAAAAATATACTTGCGTGGGTCAAATTTAGGGTTAAAAATCATGTCTTTTTGCATTATTTGGCGTTTTTGATGTGGTAACCATGGTTTTTACAAGTTCCAAATCTGGAGAAATCACTTTTTGAAAAAAATATTCATTCTTCTAAAAATAACGTATTCAAAATTTAGTTTATACATATATATAAATATGTAGGTGTGTTGTGCAGGATGAATCCGCTATCCATGTTTATCCGAGACATGGTCTTTATTTTTAGGGTCAAGCCATTTCTACTGTACTCTGCTACCTATGTAGAACACATACACGTGACCACAACTAACACTTTGGTAATAGATACAGTATGTCCTATAAGTATATTGCACCATAGAGCTGTTTCGTCTTTCGAGGACTCGACTGTGATTCTATTGGCCGAAAAGATGGATATCCAAACTGGTCTGAAACTACTGTTAGCGGTCACGTTTGCTATCAACGTATGTTAACGTCTTGTTCTGTTATACAATATTATACAATTATGGACTTTTGTGCTGGTGAATATGATGTGATATGAACCTGAAAGAGTGATATTGACTGAGTCGAAGCCGAGGTTAATATCACTCTTTCAGGTTCATTTCACATCATATTTACCAGCACAAAAGCCCATAACTGTTTTATTATATGCTTCAACAATAAAATAAAACGAAACAAAACTAAAGGTTCTGATTTTTGTATGCGAGCCTCCGTGTAAAATTTAGCCAGGTTTGAATACAACGTTTCATCATTGTAGCTTTCGAAGGTATCGTCCAGATTCTTTTTCTTAAGATAAGCACGGAGGGCATGCACTGCGTGTTCAATGGCCTTTTTTTTTTTTTATATTAACAGCATCTTTATCCTCGAATAGTTTTGGTAATTTTCCTAACGGAGGTGAAACGTTCGCCAGCAGCCATCTTCTAATGTCGTCTGACAGATCGCGTTCCGGTCTAACTGCGCATGCGCTACGACAGGTTCCGGGGAATTTCCATGTAGGCTATATTTAGAAATCGATATTCACCGGATAACCAGTCTACATGAGTTTTTGAGGACAGGTCACGTGTATCTGATCCGACCAATGTGATTGCGAGAAATGTTCATGCATATAATAATATACAATTATGGACTTTTGTGCTGGTGAATATGATGTGATATGAACCTGAAAAAGTGATATTGACCAAGGCGAAGCCGAGGTCTATATCACTTTTTCAGGTTCATGTCACATCATATTTACCAGCACAAAAGCCCATAACTGTTTTATTATATGCTCCAACAATGAAATAAATCAAAACAAAACTCAAGGTTCTGATTTTCGAACGCGAGCCTCCGCGTAAAATCTAGCCAGGTTTGAATTCAACAGTTCAGCATTGTAGCTTTCGAAGGCATCGTCTAGGTTCTTTTTCTTAAAATAAGCATGGAGGACATGCACTGCGTGTTCAATGGCCTTTTTATGTTAACAGCATCTTTATCCTCGCATAGTTTTGGTAATTTTCTGATGTAACGGAGAAGAAACGTTCGCCAGCAGCCATCTTCTATTGTCGTCTGACAGATCGCATTCCGGTCTAACTGCGCTTGCGCTACGACAGGTTCCGGGGAATTTCCATATAGGCTATATTTAGAAATCTATATTCACCGGATAACCAGTCTACATGAGTTTTTGAGGACTGGTCACGTGTATCTGATTCGACCAATGTGATTGCGAGAAATGTTCATGTATATAATAAAAACATTGTACGAATAATCACAAAAAACAAGTACCGCAACCCATTCTTATCAAAACTTAAAGCTGTGGTACAGAGTCATGTTAAGTCTACACTCATACGATTTTATTCATATAATTCTTCTTTCTTTGTCATGATATTCTTGGATGAACATTTTGCTTAAAAATGCTTAGAAATAGAGCAGCCATTTTGCAACTGTGTTCATGAAATGCATCGATGTTAGAGCATACATATCAGGTTAATATCAACTTTGGTTAGAGCCCCATATTTTGGTCAAGAAGGCTGCCTCAACATCGTTTTTTGTATTGTTGTCGTCGATCAAGTACGAAAAACAGTTCTTCCGGTGAAAATGTTATGAGGGGCCCTGGGCTTATCGACATAAATGCTCAGCTTACCGTGAAATCAACATGTTATTGGTGTAACCGTATTACACCTCCGGACCTTGTAATATTCACCTTGTTGAGATACAGGACAGGGTCATTGTCCTCCTCACCGGTACTATGTGTGTGTGAGTGTAAGGGAAGGATTCTTACATCGTAAAAAATTAATACTATGGAGACAATATTGCTTTACCGATTTTTTTAAAGTTATTATACCGTTTTGTGCTTTCCCCATCCTATATTAAATAAATAACGAATTTCACCTGACATTATTTCAGCCATCTCACTATTGTACCTTGGACAGTTGTGTACAACCACCAATAGAAAGCTATCCTGGGGAGGGAATGGAGAAAAAAATAACCAATTTCCAAATTATAGTATTCGTAGGAAATTGAGATAGCAATGCCTGTATAGTGAGCTAGTATCGTCGTCAATCGATAAAACACAATTTATATAACATTACCAATTAAAGACAGATATGCCCTCGTGGCTCGTGTTTATCTAAATACAGGGAGACTATCATTTATAACCTTAATGTGTCTTCGGCACCGCAGTTCGTGTAACAGCACTATTACCGTCAGTGGAGCCCAGGCGTGCGCCGGAGGGAAACTAGCTTACTCCAAAAGAAATATTCTACGCTCATCGTGAGAAAGAGACTTACCCAACCAGCGAACGTCTGATATAGGGACATTGGGTTCAAAACACAATATAGATGTCGTGATTGAAGCAATGAAACCCTAGGTAATACTTAATGACAAAAAATGGTCCAGGATTTTTTATGGTATTTAAAATCTATTTTTCCGTGAAAGATAAGCTATTAACAGAAAATCGCAAAAAACTTCAGATTACAAAAAAAAAGAGCTTAAACAAGAACTTCACTTTAATTTACTTCAATAGATGAACATGTAAAGTAATGTAAAATTGAGATACTGAAAAATATTATAATGTACTAGTCAAGCAAGATACAAGTCAGCAGTACAATTCCAAGTGTCGTTATGTGTGTGTCTCTCAATTAAGAACTTGAATAAGAAGAAGAAAAAAAAGTGAAAAAAGGCAAAACCACAACATTTAAACAAACTATATAAAAAAAATTACGTCAAGATCACAAATGGAAATTCAGTTTAAATATTTTGAACAAAATAATAAAACCTCAAATTAAGACAAGCCACAAAAAAAAGCATTGCGGTGATATAAATGTATTACAAAGTCGTTTTGCTTACCATGTTACAGGGTTGGTAGAGAGTGCCGAGTCCTTTACACGCTGGTATATATGGGTTTTCACAAGCGAGCAGCCCAGCACATCGCCGATAACAAACTATGTGTCGCAAACGTAAAAGCCTTCTCCACAAAGCCTCGACACAATTGAATTATTAAAACCTCACCCGGACCTGTGTGCCAAAATTCCGTCACCTGATTGGCTGAGCCGACTGGGAGGTGTGGTATCCTCCTATCATATATGGTAATCACGCGTTCATGTAAGGGAGCGAGGTATCAGGCAGAGCGGTGGACCGATTGCAAACCTTCACGGCACATGTTGATTTGACAACAAATTACAACAGGGAATAGAGGCTTATGAAAAATGTATAACGGTATTGTTCTTCGATGTTGTTAGAGATTAATATAGTATTTCCTTCTATTTTTGGCAAGAACATCGTCTTATAAATGACCTTATTGAACATATTCCTGATACATGTATACTGACCAGTGCCAGCAATGAACTTGTAAGCAGTATCCAAAAGATTGGCTCCAGATATCGTAAAAAGAATTGAATCCTGGTTTAGTGCCTGGCCATTGTCCGGATGTGTTAATGGCAGTTTACTTTAGGGAAATTAAATGGTCTTCCCGGAGTATAATATATGCATAGCATAGCATTAGTCCGGTGGCAGACGAGGAACCGTTGTTTGCACCCATGAGAACGTAATACTAACGGGATGTAAACACACACCCGGGACAGAGTACACATTGGTTTGCGTGCCAATTCCTGTTCCACAGATGGGTGTATTATGGAGCATTTTAAAACAGAACGACATAGCCCGGAGGAAGAAGAACTATCTTTAAAAAAGTAATAAGACTTCGGCCCACTGGCTTTATATAGCGTTCTGTATGTGTGCAGAAACGAAACTCGCTAGCCGAACGCTTAACACGCTTTATTATATTAAGCAAGCTTTTGTCGTACAAATTTAATTATTATCGACCGACAATTAATACCACTCTGTAATACTACAATTACATTTTACGGTGATTCAATAAAGCCAATTAATTTAATTAAACAATTCCATAATAGAATTTCATTTCAATATACCGAGATATTTGTAGGGGCAATTTCATGTAGAGGTTTTAGACAAGAAATACAATTATTATACTCAAATTACAAGTTACCATCATGTATACGGGGAAAATAAATCTCATTTAATCTGTTTGTTGTTGATAGGACGCGCACGTCAATCACGCGAACAGCGTTAATGTCAGTTTTCTACCACAACGTAACAGATACATGTCTGAAGAAAACATATAATCTGACACATGAAATTTTAATAAACCGAGAATACTACATTATAAAAGTTACGCCGATCAAATATAATAGGTTTATAAACACCAAATGTTTCGGAAATTCATTTACGATATACATGTGTATGTCAAAATGTCCTATTTCATATTCGGTATTGCTATATAAGCCTTCATATCGATTTCTTATAACCGTTTGATGGGATAGGTAGCTAGATTTAATTGTTTTAGACTTCACAGCGGGGGAATTACCCCGCATCGAACGAAGTATGACAAAATACGATAAATTATTAAATAAACCTCCTGTGTTCACTATTCTAGCTCTTTCACTCTCTAGAGGAAAGAAGAAAAGGTCAAAGGTCGTCTTTGATCTTGTTCAACAGATGTATCCCATAATATAATTAGTAACTCGATTACCTGTAATAGAATATCAACACACAACAGATATAATTGAAGTCGCATAATATAGTTTAAGATAACATTATTTCATATAAAACGAGAGGATGGAAACCTTGTATTAGCAACAATATTAATAATACAACGGAGTTTTCAAAGACGATTCGTTTGTTGCAAACATTAAACATCTTTGTCGTATTTCGCATTATTGAATCAAATGAAAAATAAAACAAACACAAATTTGGCTAGTTATGGCCATAGTTCTTTTTATGACCAATGGCAGACACCTTTATCGAGCTGTTTTGCAGATAACATGTCAAAAACGATTGAACTTCCGGATGTGTATTTCCTATTCTAGCATTTGTGGCAGACATCAAATAATAATTGCTACAACTCGACAGTTTTTTGGAATTTAGAAGTCGGAAAACATTTCATTCCAAATACAAGATACATGTCCCTGTGCATAATGTGCACTTTTTGTCTGCGCTTTTACAATGGCATTTAATACGTGTTTATAAGTTTAAACAGCATAGTCGCTCAAGATTACAAACACTTACTACTGATAGAGAACATAAACTTAATTATCTACTTCTTCATTTACAGTTTAGGTCCTCGATCATTTCTTACTAACATAAATGAAGAATCTACAGAGCTTTCTTCTCTATCCGGTCTCTACCGACGGTACGTTGCTCTCTTAGTCTTCCTTCTTCCCGTGAACTTAGCAATACTGTGAAAAAAAGCTACAATGATTTGAAGACACCGGCGAATTCGTCCAGAGATAAGCCCAGAACGTTTAATTAAAAGAAAGACAATGTTATAACGTATTCACCATTTCCTTTTCGACCACTTTTCAGTTAATCAGCATACCGCTACTAAAACATCACGGACATCCGGGTATTTCTTCAATGTCGTGTAGCCATCATTGAAACCGTTAGTATGGCTACAGTTGTAGTAATAAAAAAGAAAGATGTACACGTTTAACCTGAATACATTGAATCTGTTATTGTGAAACATCTGACAAAGACGAGTTACAGTATAGACTGAAAATATATTTAAACATTAAGCGAGCGCACACTTCACATTCCGCCAAATGCTGGCATTAATACAACAAGCATGGAATTGGAAAGCGAGATAAGACTAGGTCAACATAGAACCATATCTTATCATTTAAATGAAATATAGCCATTTGTAGTATAAGTATACATCTCTTGTGGTAACAACGGAAAACATGATGCACTATTTACCATTAAGCGTTATAAATCAAGAAAACGAAGAATGCGGTTTGGTTCATGTCAGGAAATGGTGTCGAGAAATAGCGACGGTTTTGGAGGAAAATATCTTGGCTTGGTAACGTTTTGCAAAGGAAAATTTCACGCAAGATATGTTTTACGTCATAATAAACATATGTTTTCTTCTTTACATATGCTGGCGATAGTGTGAAAGGAGATATGAAAATGCAAAGAAAAGACCGGGATTCGAACCCAGGACCCTCCGTACTCAAGACGGACGCTTTACCAACAGAGCTACCTGGTCGCCGACAATCGACCCTGTCCAGTTCCTCTGCATTCCTCCCTCCTTTTTCTAAGTCTTGGCCCCCGTAAACAACACTATTTACGACCCAGATTTGGGCATCCTCTTGCCAAGCATTCACCCAGGACTTAAACAAGGCTTGGACAGATAGCCATTTTTTAACAGGAGAAAGAGAAAGGCAACAACAAAATCCGGCTTCGAACCCGGTACCCTCCGACGAAATCTAGATGAACGATCTACCAATTTAGCTACCTGGTAGCCGACGATCGACCCATCCAAGTTCCACCACAAATTAATGACAAGCGATAGCCATTTGGCTATTACTGTATCAGGTTTCCGGAGATGATGTGCTGCAAAACGTTACAGATCGTGATAGTGCACAGCATAGTGTTAGAGTTAGGTACAAGACTGGGGAAAGTATAGTTTGTTTGACTGTGTTTGCTTTAAAGACGATCTGGAGAGTTGGCCATGATTATTAGACAGCTTAGATGGTAGAACGCTCGTCTGGATGTACCCACTGGAACCAATCAAATGCCATGTCATAATGCCACTACCTTTGGATGTCACACCTGCAACAACAGGCTGACCAGGGGTGCCATAAAGAGACAAAATCGAAATGAAAGAAAGATTATGGGCCAGAAAAGAAACGATAGAGGTCACATATGGGATTTTGTGGTAACAGATCAATTTTGATCTCATTAGCGTCCCCGACCGAGTAGAGAGCCGAGAATCAAAATTCCAGGGAAATTGTTCACAGACGCTTTTGTTCAGAATATCAATGGGATCTTAGCCATGGTTTTGAACTGTGACGTTCACAGTTACTATATTCACTATATTTCGATAATCATATGAAAAAGTATCAATCCCTCCTGTGTGATTGTTTTGTTGGAATCATCTCGATTGAGCTTATAGTTCAGACTCAGTGATCACAAAAAAGTCACAGATTCTACATATCACTTTTCGCAATAAAAAATATTTAAATAAAAAAAATGCACATCAAATTGTACACCGTGTACAGGGCTTATTTACAATACATGTATACACCACCAAGTAGGATTTCCGAAAATTCTCTCGCTAAAATGTTTTCGGACTCGTTTAAAAAATCCAAAATGAAACTGGTGTAAGAATCTATAAATATTTAAATGAATCGGTGCTCAAAATGTAAACGAAATACCAATTTCTCGTTTTCAACATTACTAAATAACACATTTTAAAGAATGTATTGATCTAGTAACAAAAAGTGTTTAATCATCACACGTACATGCATAACAATGTACAAGCTGCAATAGTTTCTTTAAAATAAACCTTCCACTATTCAGCTTTGGTGTAGTCGTAACAATATATGAACAAGGAACACAAGAAACTTGGCAAAATCCATTTTTGAAATTTAGTCAGCCATCTAAATTGTTGAGGACGCCCTGAGCCTTTAACACAGTGGTTAGTTCAAAATTCAAATTGTCGCAACTAAACAATGAAAGGGGAAAAAACAAAATAATCCCAACAAATTGTTACATGTAGCATTGAAATGATACCACTGGGTGGTCGGGTAACGCATTAGATAACGCACTGGCCTGTCACCAAGGCGGTCGGGGTTCGATTTCCCGATCGGATGGGAAAATATATGGAGTCCCAACCACGTGTGTTTTTTCCGGGTACTCCGGCTTCCTCACTAACATCTTGGTCAACAAGAGTGATTAATATAAGTTGCAATAACTTCTTTCATAATTGTGGTACATGTAAAATAAATATATATTTAATGATATCATAGGTTCATAATTTTGTTCATGTTTTAAAATTTCCTTAACAACTGGTTAAGTTTAACCAAGTTAAGTTTAACCAAACTGTCTGTGACCAGTGCCGCCCTACCCTAGGATATTCAGTCCGTAGCCACACTCGTTTCCAGTGTGGACATAACTGGTTTCCTACCGGAGCAGCTTCGATCTACGAT